AAGAGGATATAACCGTGATAAACATATATGCACCCAACACATGAGCATCTAAATTTATAACTTCTAGAGGACTTTAAGGGAGAGATCGACAGCAATACAGTAATACTAGGGGACTTTAACACCCTACTGACTTCACTGGGTAGGTCTTCCAGACAAAAAATCAACAAGGAAACAGTGACACAGTAGATCAAGTGGATTTAATTGACATTTACAGAACATTCTACCCCAAAGCTGCAGAATACACATTTTTCTCAAGTGCACATTAGCAGGTGAGTGGATAAAAAGCTGTGGGATATTTACACTATGGAATACCATGCAGCTGTAAAAAAGAAGGCTCTCTTATCCTTTGGGACAGTATGGATGGAACTGGAGAGTATTATGCTTAGTCAGAGAAAGACAAGTACCACATGATCTCACTCATATGTGGAATGTAAGAAATAAACTGAGGAACAAAATAGATCCAGAGACATAGAAGCATGAAACAGACTGAGGGATCTTAGAGGGAAGGTGGAGGTGAAGGAGTGGGTGGGGAGAGATTAATCAAAGAAATTATGTGTCTATATGCATAACCCACGGACACAGACTTTGTTATCAGGAAGGCCTGGGAGTGGGGTGGATGCGGGGTGGAGGGGATCAATGGGGGAAAAATGGGATATCTGTAATACTTTCAACAATAAAGATAAATAAAAAAAATAAAAAAAATTGGTGGGTTAAAGGACATTTAAATTTTCAGCTTTGTTTTATATTAAGTTGCCCTCCACAAAGTGTCTAGAAACTTTATGAATGAAGACCCTGGTGGCACTTGCCACCAGGCTTTAGACCTGCTCAGACTTGCATCGTGAGGAACAGGGGAAACTCCATAGAAACTAGAGCGGGGACCTGACGCCAGTGGAATGTGGGCATGTGCAAGCGTGTGCATGTGCACGTGAGTGAGTGTGTGTGTGATGTACATACAGTAGGAAGCTTAAGGAAGAACTATAAGTTAGAGTCCTGTTTAAAGCTCTCATAATTAGTGGAAGTGTCAGCAGTTTGAATAAAGCGCCTGCCTTTATTATTCATTGGAGACTGGCAGTAATAAGTGTGAATTTCACAGTCCTCATGCTGCTAATCAAAGCACAGAGCATTTCTTAAGATCATAAGTCAGCATCCTCCAAACAGGAGCGTGAGGGAAATTTGGTGTCTGGGTTACTAACTGGAACACTAGCCTGCGCTTGGGCCTTGGGCTGTTTCAGAGGGACCCGGCTGGTAGTCACACCGTGGAGCTGGAGCTGGGGCTGGGGCTGGGGCTGGAG